CCTTCGCGGTAATAAATGTGTTGGCTGTTAACAAATATTGTAGACGTTAACAGAAATGTTATATGTTAACAAATGTTTTTACGCTTCGTGTTAATGAGAGGAAAGAGAAAGGACATTCTCGGCATTTCCTTGCCAAATGGTTGTGTCAGTTTCCTTCATGTCCAATCAATGGTATTTTGCTAATTTGAGCTTCAAATATGGGTAGTTCACTAAATCACTCATAATACAACCCAATAATTTTAATTTTAAAGCATATTTGTTTGTTGCCCCCCAAAAAAAAGAATGCATATTTGTTTTGTTAATGATTGGTAAAATTTTGTATTTCTATTTCTTTTCGTATGCTACATTCTTGTTTTTATGTTCTCAGTATTGTTCTCGGCCATAACTTTGTCAAATAATTTTATATTTTCACTACAAAAACATGCCTATAAAGAGGAAACATTAAGAAGAAATATTATCCTCGTAAAGTTACGAGTAAACTATAATGAAATTAATTTCGTCGTAAAATCATAGTAAAATTACAAAGAAATGGGTTTATATGTAAATTTACGTCGATTGTAAAAAAAGTCATTGTAACTTTACATAAATTTTACAACAAAGCATGTTATGGTTATTTTTGATGAAAATGTGTGTTAAGTGTGCTTCACATAACTATTTTTGTTGAAAATTGTGGGAAGCGAAATTCATCTACTGCCAATGAATCGTAAATAAGGAAACTTAGAGTAAACCCTAAGTTTCCAGAGGACCCGGCTATCTGCAAAACCGCACAACGATAATTAAGAAAACGATGAACTTAAAATTAAAGTAAGAATGAGTGAGACTGAGAGCAAGAAGGTTTTTATTCCGAATCTGCGTAAGAACGGTTACAACGAGAGTGGCCTTAGCTGTGTGAGCCATCAGCAAAATCCCTAACTCCAAAAGTCTAAGACCGAAAACCGTAGTTGAGACACAGCTCGCTAACAGAAAACGGAAATATTCCTAAATGCTAAGTTTGGTAGTGAAAGCTCTGAAAATCATCCCCCTTGCTTCTGCCCCATGTCTCTTGCTCATATACTCCCTTCCTAGGCAGTTTAGTCTTTCCATTTCGCCCGGATTCGAGTTTATAGGAAATCTTCCATTTAACTTGATCCTTACTTTTTTCCTGCGGAAATCTTCTATTTATCTTCAAACTTGTCATTTATCTTCAAACTTGACATTTATCTTCCTTCTGCGAGTAAATCGTCAAAACGTTATCATATCTTCGAGTTAGATTTGTTAAGATCGCGAGATGAGCTTTTATCACGTTTTAGGACCTTCCGAGCCGTTTTGTGATAAATCCATTTTGCGACTTTGTACGAGATCGTTTCCTGATCCGATGCCATTTTTATTAAATTCCTCGAGTTAATCGTAACGTTTAGCTACGTTCGTTTCTCGGTTAATCGTTGCCGTTTTTACGATTCACTCGACGTTTTTATTAAAAACACGTTTTTTACAATTTTTACGAAAAATCTCGAATAAATTGTATAGTTTAGGCAATGTTCGGTGTTTCGTTTAACCATTTCCGTTTTATACGATTTCCTCGAGTTCTTTTCGAGAAAACAATTTTTTACGGTTTTTATCGTAAAACTCAAACGATAGGACAGATCGAGACGAAACGGGAGACATTTCGACCATGTTTCGGAACACGATCGTGTCGAAGGACGTAAGCCTTGAATCAGGGATGCGGGAGATTGAGGCTCGGGATGGTCGGTTTGACGTACGGCGAGCCGAACCGGACCGGTTCAACTCGCCGTTTGGCGAGCTGCCCGGGAAGCTTCTACCTCGCCGTTCGGCGACCTAGTCGTGTCGGGACTAGCTCGCATTTTACGGCGGTTTCGGTTTTTTGCGGTTTTGTGCTTAACTCGGACGATCGTGTAATCGATGTTTGTTTCGTTTTTCTGAGATAACGATCTTCCGAGTTTTCCGCGGATTTCCTTTGTTCGGAAATCTCTTTTGGATTTATAAAACGATCTCTCGAGTTTTATCAAACGATTTATCGAGTTCTATAAAACAATTTCTCGAGTTTTATAAAACGATTTCTCGAGTTTTATAAAACGATTCTTCGAGTTTTGTAAAACTATCTCTCAAGTTTTATAAAACGATTCTTCGAGTTTTATAAAACGATTCCTCGAGTTTTATAAAATAATTTTTTTTAGCTTTTTGTGGGGAGTTTTGGCTATTGATTCCGTCGGACTGATTTTGACCCCAACAGTCAGCTCCCAGCTTGTAAGAATCATGGAGTTCTTGCGAGCGGATCGAACTTGTTTGCCGAGTTTGGTAGAATTAGGCGGAACTTTAATGGACAAAAGTCCAAAGGTGAATTGTAAACTTTTTCCTATAAGTATATGGGGTGAGTTCTCAAATTCCTCACCCATTTTTCCATAACTTGTTTAAGTTTCAAGAAGTTTTCTCTCTACTTCTTCCTTTGGATCCTTTCTTTTTCTGTTGACCGTCCAACATGTCTTCCGAATGGAAAGCTTCAGACCATGCTCATGCATCGATTTTTGATCCGAGCGACCTTGACATCTCTAGCGGTTGTGCCCTTCCCAGGCCGATCTTTTGGCGCTTTTCCACGACTAAGAAAGAGTTTTTGGAATACTGGTTAACCTTAGAGGCCGCCGAGGTTCCGTCTTCGAGTTTCTGGGTTCCGAAGAAGAATAAGTTTCGGAAGAAAACGGTCGGTCCGAGTACGAGTACTATTGGTTCTCTAAGAGATTTGAGGATTCTCCCTGTGATCCCTGAGTCGGTTCAGTTTTGCCTTCCCGTTCAAGGTCAAGATGCCGAGAATCCGCCTCCGGGTTATTTTACGTGCTACGAAGCTTTTCTGCTGAACTGTCAGCTATGGTTCCCTATTCCTCGAGCCATTGTTGAGTTCTTGGATAGGTTTGGCGTACAGTTCAGCCAGCTACGTCCTAGTGGGTTGCAGCACCTTGTTGGGATCTTGGTGCTAGGCTACGAGCGCGGAATGTCCCTTGACGCGGACTAGCTTTTGGCTTTGTTGACATTCAAGCGTGGAAGAGGAGGCGGCTTTTACCTAACCTCTCGGCGAGAAATGACAGTTATCGGCGGGCTCGCCTCGAATGATCACGATTGGATTGATCGATTCTTCTATGTCAAAATTGATAACGCGTCGGTGGAGGAAAGTTGTATTCCTTTGTTCAGGACCGTGTGGGCGACAACTGGTATTTTATTGGTGTGATCTACATATCTGTATATATATAGATTTTAACCTTTTCATGCGTTTTGCAGTGTCTATCCCCTGCACGCCGCTGCTTGATGGTTTCCCGGAGGTCATGAATCTTCTTCGTGGCAGCCCACTTCATTGGGGATATTTTTCTCCGAAAAGGATCCGTCGCGCCATTGCCTATTATTCATCTGGTTTTTCTCGGGACAGTCGTACTGAGGTCGAGGCGGATGACGGTGCAGAGGAGAGGGAAAGGTCCAGATCTCCGCAGGACAGAGAAGTTCCGATTGGTCGCGGTCGAGCGTTCGATGATGATATTAACATCGAAGATCTTATTGACTTTTCCGCCTCCGAATTTGATCCGGCCGAGACATCATCCCGAGCCCCGGCCGACACACCGTTTGCGAAGGAATCGAGACTTTTTAACAAGGTTTGTCTGTTTTGCTTTATCATACATATATAGATATATATTTTTTATAAGGGAGGATTTTTCTCGTTTCGCAGGGTCTCCGCTTTATGAACGAAGCGGTGAATGCGAGTAGTGCGGAACTTTGCAAGGCCGAATCTAGGGCTGCAGCGGCGGAGGCGGAGGCTGCTCGTCTCAAAGAAGAGATCGATGCCAGTTTCTCTCGTGCCCAGGACTTAGCCGCAAGGGAGGCCGCTCGTGTGAGGGAGGAGTATGAAGCTGAATCTCGTCCAAGCTTAGAGCTTTCTGACACGATGGTTCGTCGTGCTCGTAGAGCGGGAAAAAGAGAAGTTGCCGCGGAG